TTTTGGTAAGGATGACTTTCGGTACCATGTTGAAATTCATTATGCCTTATTCTCAAAGGACAGCTTCCAGAATGATAGGTGGGTTTGCTCGAGAATACGAAACAGCGCAGAGAGAGAGAGAGGGAGGGGAGAAAGGAGAAGTCAGGGCGAGTGAGAGAAGAGAGGTGGCCTCTTTGTCTCTAGGGTGAGCACAATGGACCGTTCACTGCAGGAATTATACAGCAGACCAGCTGCCGGAATGACACACTAAAATGGCAGCCAATAGAATTGAAATGGGGGCAGATCTACATGGGGGGAGCGCATTTGATTGGTAGATGTCAAATAAAGTTACGCGAATATATGGAAAAGTATCGGTATGTTTTAATCATACTTTGTAGTTTTACTGTAAAAATAATCAACATTGAAAACTTAAAAGTTACAACCTGCAGGAGTTCATTCCACTTTTTAATCAATTAGAATGTAATTACTGATGTAGATCGAATTGTATGATCTGAAAATGCTAAAAATGTGACAAGTTGGATGAAAACAAAGATTTTAGATTTTATATGAATGAAAACATTTATTCTATGTTGGTTTTAATGTTTTTTCCCCTTCTTTTTAACTTTTTACTATCTCACACACACACAAAAATTAAATTAAATTAGTGTTACAACCTGCAGCAGGAGTTCATTCCACTGTTTAATTAATTTGTAATTTAATTACTGATGAAGATCAAATTTTATGATCTGAAAATGCTAAAAATATAAGTTAGATGGATGAAAACAAAGATCTTATAATCATAAAAATATTTATACTCTTATCATTAGTTAATTAATTAATTTATTTATTTATATTTTTACTTTTTACTCCCACACAAAAAAAGTGCACAAAGTGCATGCAATATCTTGGTCACATCTGTCAGACCCATGTGACCTTAGAGGCAGATTGCTTGATGGATTGCTTTGAGTGCCCATCACTTGCTTTTCTATCACTTACACACACACTCACACACAAAGGCAAAGTATCTGCTTGACAGAATTCAAAACATGCCTGTTCCTTCTTCCAAAATGGTTTTCAAACCTCCGTGTGTTCTGTTTCTATTAGTGTCGTGAGAGAGTCTCTGCAATTACAGTAAAATTAGAACATACTTTCAGAACAAACCATACTGACTTTCTGTAAAAAAAAACTAAAACAATCTCAAGCATCCACTCAAGTATTCAAGCTATGCCATTCGGAATGTGGATGGCTAGCATATGCTGTCGAAAACCACAAAACACAAGAACAGGAAATTGTGATGTAAAGAGTTTAGTGTTTTGTGTGGGCTTAAAGTCAAACCACTCAGCAGTTCACTATTATTAATATTCAGCCCTGACCTCTGTATTCATCCTCATGATTCTTTTCCCAGTCCTCCCACTTCTTTCTATTTCTTCAGAACTCTCCCACCATTCAAACTCTGAATGATTGGCCGCAGCTTTTTAGCTCCAGTACAATTCAGGACTGCCTTTCGTACCTGCGTAAGACATAGTGAAGTGCACTTATTACTGGCTTAAAGATGGAATAAATGGCTGTGTGAGAGCGAAAAAGAAGAGATGTGGGAGGAGGAGGGAACAGAGGAGAGCAAAAGGCGAGATAAAGTTGCTTTACGTCCAAGGTATACTCGGACCACACAAAGAGCCTCTCATGTCTTACTTTCAACCACTCCCTTTATGTCTCTCTTTTGCTTTCTCTCGCTCGCCTTCTCCTTTTCATTCAAGGAGGGGGGGTCTTCACCCTCGGCCTGAAGCCGCTCCTGAATAATCCCGCTGGTCACACCTCTTAGTTAGAAAGCTTTTTGTCCCACGCCCCTCACCCCCACCAAACCACCTCACCCCACTCTTTGGTATTCAGCCCGGGTCAGTGCATTTCGACCATCCCTTGTACCCGAGATGGTTCCCCTTTTAATTTGCACCTGTTGCGCAGTTGTCCGGGGTAGCAAATGTAGGCCCATGGATCAGACAAAGATCATATTATGATCAGATACGTGCGGCTAATTTGCACGTCCTCTGGCGTCCTCCACGAGCAGTCAGCCTTTTTTTGCATGGGAACCTGTGAAAAAAGACGTCATTGGTATTTTTTATTTATTTTTGTTAAGTGAATGGGCTCCTAGGGAGAGATTAGGGGTAGTTAAGGTACGGAGTGGGAATGGAGTGTTCCACAGCCCAGTCGAGTCCATTTGACGCCAACGAACTGGGAAATAGAGCACGGATGGAAGGGAAAGTTTGTTGTTTTTCAAAACTCGGTGTTCAGGAGAGGGAGAAAATTGTCCCGAAATCAGCAATTAGGTTTTTAATCTTACCATTAGAGAAACTTCCCACTAGTTCTCACTGCTTTGGCAGCTTGCCTCTGAGATAAGGTGCTCGGAGAGCCTGGGGAGATGTATGCTGTATTTGGCAAGGAAAGAACTTCAAATGAACCTGAACGTTAAACTGCTGTTCCCATGATATAAGCTTCATAGTTTATTAGACCCTCACCACCTCTCACCACCAGAGTTTTGTGGGTTTTTGGTTTGCTTTATCATGCTATCTGTTGTTGTATATCGAGCAACAATCTTGTCTAGTGAGGTTTCCATTATTTTGACAACTGTAAATTTGTTAAAGGGGTCATATGATGCTTTTTTAAAGATCATTATTTTGTGTATTTGGTGTAACAGAATATGTTGACATGCTTTAATGTTCAAAAAACACATTATTTTTCAAATACTGTACATTATTGTAGGTCCTCTATGCCCCGCCTCTCTCAAACGCTTCGTTTTCTACAAAGTCCCTCCTTCCGACAAGAGCAGTCTGCTCTGATTGGCCAGCTGACACAGTGCATTATGATTGGCCAAACACCACAAGCACGCGTCGGAAATGTAACGCCCCTTACCATAAACGCGAGCTTCATCTTTCAAAATAAACGTAAAGACAGAGCCCGAAAGGGGAACAGAGTCACGTGACAGACACAGTGATGAAGCTGGTATGTGCTCTCTCGCGCTCTCTCTCTCTCTCGCTC